AAAGGTGGAATGGAGCGTCTCTTTGCCCCAGGCCAGAGAGACAGTCAGTGCCGGGCTGGGAGATCAGAGCGTGGGCGTTTCCTGCCCATAACCTCCTCCTCCGGCCTCACCTCGGCGCAGGCAGCGCGGCCATGGACAAACAAGCCTCGGGAGGCACGGCCTGTTCCCAGCCAGGCTCTGTGGCCTGTTCCCACCCAGGCTCTGTGGGCTCCCGGCGCTTTGCACAGGGCTTGCAAAAGGACTCGGGGGGTGGCCTGACTTAGCGTTCGTGGCGCTTTTTTGTGGTTGGCACCCGAGAGCAGGTCAGGCTTCTCCCCTGCCCCCTTCCCGCCGCAGCAGACGGTGCTTACCGTGCTTCACCTGCTTCAGTGTCGACGCCACCTGGAAGCTGAAGACAGACTCGCAGAGGAATCTCTCGGAGCCATCTGTAAGCAGGAAGAAGAGGTGGCTGAACCCCAGAGTTAAGGCTGAGCGGCGTTCACTGAGTGCTGCCGACCTTCTATTCTCACGTTGGAGGTGTGGGTTTCCCCCCTGCCTCGCCAGCCCCTGAGACCCTGCACAGGGCTCTGCCTGGTTCCTGGTGCCACCTGGGGGACATCCCGGCTGGAATTCTGCTACATCCCCTCTGACAAGCAATTTTAGTCCACTTTTAAATAGAAGGTAAGCTAAGGAGAAGCCAGGTAATGTCATGGCAGTCTTGGATTCCCTCAGGGCTCAGACGCTTGTGTCCTTAGAATGCTTTAGGATCTCTCACAGGCTCAGACCATAACCCTGCTTAAAGAATTTCAAATAATGTGTATCTTGCCATCCAAGTCAGTAATTTATCACACAAGTGACTCAGAAATAAAGCAATCTGGAAAAACACAGCTAATTGTGTGCCAAGTACTGACACAGTTTATACTGCTTCCTTCTAAAAAAACCCAAAATACCTAAAGGTCTATTTAAAAACAAGTGAGATAGTTAAAGTAACAACAGAAATCAGTCAGTCAGTGGGGATTTTTGAAGAGGAAACTGGTATGCAGCTCCCCCACTGGACCTGCCTGACGAAAGAATGGGTGTATCACCTTTTGGGTCAGAAATTAAAAAGCAAACCTAAAGCTTCCTGAAACAGGGACAGTGTTTGGTTGTTGCTGCCACCCAGAGCAGATGAACTGCTGTGTTCCTGGTAAAGAGGTCAGCCCAAAGCACAATCAATTAAAAGCCCTGTGCCATAATGACATGGAGAGAAGCAATTTCAAAGACTAAGGGTAGAGCAAAACTCTGGAAAAATCTAATCCAAAGCTGAACCACAGGGAAGAGCTGGAGATTTGCTGTGCTCAGAGCACTTCTTGCAAGAGCTGAAATGCTGTGTTGGTGCTGCCCAAAACATATCCTTCCCTTTCCAGGGAGCAGGACCAGGGCAGGGATTGTTCCCCGGTGCTGGGCACAGCTCAGGTCCCTCGAGGGCTGGGCCCAGCTCTGGGCCCTCAACAGGAGAGACCCGGAGGGGCTGGAGCGTGTGCAGGGAAGGGAACGGAGCTGGGAAGGGGCTGGAGCAGCAGGAGGGGCTGAGGGAGCTGGGGGGGCTCAGCCTGGAGAAAAGGAGGCTCAGGGGGGACCTTCTGGCTCTGCAAGTCCCTGCAGGAGGGGGTAGCCGGGGGGTCGGGCTCTGCTGCAGGGAACACAAGGACAGGGGAGAGGAACGGGCCTCCAGGCTGTTGCCAGGGGAGGCTCAGGTTGGCCAGGAGGAGGAATTCCTTGCTGGAAAGGATGGTCAGGCCTTGGCAGGGGCTGCCCAGGGGGGTGGTGGAGTCCCCAGCCCTGGAGGTGTCCAAGGAATGACTGGACATGGCACTCAGTGCTCCAGTCTAGTTGTAAGGTGGTGATCAGGCACAAGTTGAACTCCATGATGTTGGAGGCTTTTTCCAGCCTGACAGTTCTGTTCTCTCCTCTGACTCCCTGTCTGTCCTGCCGAGTGGCTCTCGGGAGGAACAGCTGCCTGTCTATTTGGTAACATGAAGTGCTTCATTACTTTAATTTGTTTTGAGGGCTCGTTAAGTTCTATGAGCAAGCCTTTAGTCATAATTACTTCAATAGCCTGGCATATGGGCTCTAATGTGTAATAAAAACAGCCCTTCAACAGCACAGCCATCAGCTCCCAGCTGCCCTGCACTGCCACGGGGACACCCCGGGCTCAGTCCCAGCCATCCCACTGGATTTCAGGTTCACACAGACAAGTGCTCCATGGTGACATGGGAAGTTCAAGGGGAACAGACAGACAGACAGACCCTGGTTTAACCCTGTCATCTGGAGAACCTGCCCTTCCTCCCTCACCCAGAGCAGCTGTGGCATGCCCAGCTCCTCCTTCCACAATCCCGACGGAGGGAAGGGCTCAGGCACCCAGACACAAGCTGGCAGGGATACAAGCTGCCTCCTGTACTAGCCCAGTCAAATCCAACCCAAACCAAGAAAAATACTCCTGCCTCAGCTATCCTCCCAGTAATCCCTGCCTGACATCAAAGGATTAGCTAACAATGAGCAATTAACACCGTCATGTTCCCTTTCAGTAGATCCCCTCCTGTCTGAAGTGTTGTCATGGAGCTAAAAACCAGGTGACTGCCAGAAAAATCATTTCCTCACGAACAACTGGTGGGAAAGGCGGGGCTGCTCGGGACCCTGGTGCTTCCTTTCTCCCTTCAGCTTTTGCCAGCTGAAGTCCAAAAAGGCAGCAGGGTGCCAAGCTCAACAAGCTGGAGGAGGAGAAGGGCAGGAGCAATCACCTTCCAGCATCTCCCCAGCTCCTTTGGGGTAAGTGAAGAGGGCTTTCCGGGGCGGTGCCAGGTCCGAAACGCTGAACCCCGACCCTGTCACGGAGCTGCCGCTGACCCCGCCAGCCGAAGAGGAGGAGGAGGAGGCTGCCATCTCACCCCGACCCAGCCTGGAAGAACAAAGAGGCAGCAGAGCCGAGTTAGAGACGCCGCGTCCCGGAGTTTCCCAGGGCGCAGAGCCAGCGGCTCTGAGGTCGGATGAGGGTGGTGAGGGGCAGGAAGATGCCGCCTCCGCTGCCTCAGAGCTTCAAGGCTGCCCTGTGTGGGTGGGAGAGCTGCATGCACCCCACTGCCTGTGGGGATGGGCACAGAGAGACCCCAAAACTGTGGGTAACCCCCGCTCCGACCCCTCAGACAAGGGACCCTGGGAACTCATCCAGATGATCATCCAGATGATGCACGAAAATAACCTGAATTCATTGGCCTTTAGCTGCCCTGGCCCTTGTCCTACTCCCCAGGGTCATAAAAAGGCTTTTTTTTTTCCTTTTTTTTTTTTCCTTGTTTCCAGGAGCACAACCACAGAAAAAGTCCTGCTGCCTCATAAAACCTGGAAGGCTGCAGGACTGCCAGTTCCAGGGCTGCATCCTGCACGAAGCCACACTGTGCTTAACTTGCAGCAGCTGCTTTCTGCATCATTCCAGATGTGCTTCTGCCTTTAAAAACTGTATTTGACCTAAACTGGCAATGGCTGAAGATCCAATTGCCTGTGCAGCACAAGGCCAGTCGCCTCTTGCACACCTTTCTCTCATCCTTGTTTCAATTTAAGAGGTACTGGGTGTATGTTTGTCATGACAGAGTTCTTAAAACTCACCATGTACCTCTCTGATAGTATAATAGGTGTCACTTGGCACTTATGAGTGACAGCACTTGCTGCTCCCCCAAACACTTATAAGGACCTCCCCATTATCATGCCCATTTAATTCATTTCTGTTATCTTATTTAGTACATTTCTTCAGGCACTGGAGGGTACACAGCCAGTGCCTTTGGAAAGCACGCAAGGATTTTGTGGAGAAAATGGGGTTTTAAGAGGCTGTCACAACTAGGACTTGTGTTCTGTCACAGTTAATCATGGAATCCTGGAATAGTATGGGGTTGGAAGGGACCTTAAAGGCCATCAGGCCATCCAGTTCCAACCATGGGCACCTCCCACTATCCCAGGTTGCTCCAAGCCCCGTCCAACCTGGCCTTGAACACTTCCAGGGATGGGGCAGTCACAGCTTCTCTGGGCACCCTGTGCCAGGGCCTCCCCACCCTCCTAGGGGAAGAATTTATCCCAAAGCCGCAGTCTAAGCCTGCCCTCCATCAGTGTGCAGCCATTCCCTGTGTCCTGGCACTCCTTGTACACGCTCTCTCCAGGGCACTCAGGGCTGCTTCATTCACTGTGTGTCACACAGAACACAGCAGCTCACAGGAGGCTGGGGGCTTAGGGGCGGTGAAAGAAAACGCCTGGATGAAATAAACTTTTGTCACGGCTACGCCCCGTCCAGCAACACCTCCCTCGGCTCCCCGCTCGCGAGGGCGGCGAGATGACGGTTTGCGTTGAAACCACGGCGACCGGGGGGGCTCGCAGATCCGACAGATGCCTATAGGTGTAGCTGCAGGGGGTTTTATTTTAAACGAACACAGGGGAGAGGAGGCAACAGGTCGGGGCGATGCCGAGGCGTGTACGCGAACCTGCGCCCTCAGGCGCCTGACGCGCCACCATCTTTGCGGGAGGCGGGGCCGCCTCGCCACAGACCACGCCCCCTTCAGACCACGCCCCCAAAGCACACCGGCTCCCTCGTAGGCCACGCCCCCTTCCCGCCCCCCCGCCCCTCCGCGCCGCTTCCCGTGAGTGCGGAGTCCCCGCCCGCGCCGCCGCCGCCTCGCCTCCCTGCCTTCCTCCCGTTCGCCCTAGCGCCCTCCGTCTCCCGGTCCGCCCCTTCCCGCCGCTCCCGTGCCCTCTCGGGCCCCTCTCCGTTCCTGGGCGCCCGGGCGGCGCTGGGCGCGGGCGGCGCGCGTGCCGCGCTCGCGGTGCAATGATGGGGCGGGCGCGCGCCACTTCCGCCGGGGCGCGGGAGGGGAGGAGGGAGGGGAGCGGGGGCGACAAAATGGCGCGGCGGCTTAGGGGAATCCTGCTGCTCCCGCCGCGTTCCCGCAGGGGTTCGGGCGTAGAGCTTCTCTGCTCTCGGCGCCCCGGGGGTTTGCGCGGTGCGGGCCGTGGCGGAGCTGCCCGTAGCCCCTCTGGATCGTGCCTTCAGGAGCCAGTTTCTGTCCCTGGTCGTACGCTTGGGAGCCTAATCCTGCCCCTAAACTTGCCCTCAGGAGCCTTATCCTGCGCCAAAGCTGCCCCCCGAACCCCCCATCGCTGCTCGGCTTTCAGAAGCCTCGTGTCAAGAAACTGACGCCGACGTGTGTTTAAAACCGTGAACCAAAAAAACCCCAAACCAAACCCAGCGGCACTGCGATTCTTTTTCATGGCTTATTCTGTGTGCAGTTCACCTCTGCACTTCTTCCCTTGAGCTACGGGAGTTTTTTATTTTCAGTGTAAGTTCTGGGTGGTTGTGAGTCATTTCAGAAGGTAGGGCTTGAACTGAGGGGAAAAACATTAACCTTCTGAACCTGATGTCCCTGTATAATAAATCTAGTTTAGAATAAATGCACCTTCAAAGGCACGCTCTTAATTTTTTCCTGTTGTGTTGCAGTGGACAGGTAAATGTTCTGTAAAAATTCACAGAGGTGAATTTTTTGGTGGAGACTTTGTTTTCAAAGTAACAGAGATTTCTGTTTTTAAACCAAGGCAAACTGAGATGTTAATTTAAAAAATTACATTTATTTAATTGCATTTAATGAATATTAATTATATTATTAATTTCATTAATATTAAATTAACCATTTAAGTAAACATAGAATTTTAAGTGAAGATTAAGATAGGTCACTGCCAGTTGTTTGCTTTTGCACCATTAAATGTTCTGTGCTGTAAAAACTGTAACTCAGTGCCAGCTAAAGCCCAAAGAAACTGAAATGTAGCATGGACTGAAGTTGGAGTGAGTTTTAGGCAGAATTACATATCTTATATTGCTTAAATTTTGCTTAAATTGTACCTGATTGTGCTTTCCAAGCTGACAAAGAATGTGCTTGAAGTTCCCATAAAATTACTCTTTGATTGAGTGTTGTAAGGTTTGAGGAGGTTTTGCCTTTCTGAAGTCTCTTGTGCATACACAGCGGAGCTTTAAACTCAAGGAGGGGCGATTTAAATTGTTTATTGGGAAGAAATCCTTCCCTGTGAGGGTGGGGAGGCCCTGGCACAGGTTGCCCAGAGAAGCTGTGGCTGCCCTGGATCCCTGGAAGTGTCCAAGGCCAGGTTGGACGGGGCTTGGAGCAACCTGGGCTGGTGGAAGGTGTCCCTGCCCATGGCAGGGGGGTGGGACTGGGCGGAATTTACCTTCCCTTGGCCTGAGCTGCAAAGCTGTCTTTGTTTTCGCAGCAGGAGGAGGAGCAGGATGGATGTGCTGAGGCCCACCCTGGTGAGGACTGGGGGGCGAGTGTACCGGAAGAATCTCATCCAAGAGCAGCCCTTCCCGCGGGAGGAGGAGGAGGATTTCTGTGCAGGTGAGGAGTGATGCTCCAGAGGTGAAAACATCAGCCCTGGGGACCCAGGGAACTCTGAGTGTCATCTCTGGTGTCTTTGTGAGCACAAAGACCTGCCCCTGTGGTGGAGTCAAGTGTTAAGAGGGAGAAAACTTCTGTTTGATCCCTGATGATCTTGCTGCCCGAAGAGTGGGAGTCATCTCAGTTTCCCCACCCCCAAGTAGGTTTGGCTGCTGTACTGCAGAGGGTCAGTTTGCTTGCTGGGTGTGAAAGATCTCCAGGAAAGGGGAAAAACAAATTAGCTCTGTACATCTGTTTTTCCCAGGTTTCTGAAGTGCCTTTTCTTTTCTGGAGTGTGATTATTTGGAGATATGGCAGCAGAGGAAGCTGCTAAAGACCCTCTGTCCTTGCAGTGTTTGTGCCTTTAAAAACTGGCCTCCTACAATGCAGCTTTTCACCTATTTTGGGGGGAAAATTCTTCCTGCTGTGGTGCATTTTACCTTTCTACCTGTGTGTTTGTTGTAGCTGTGTGTGAGTTGTTGTGGGCACAGAAAAGCTCCAGTGTTGTTTCTCAGACGGGAAGGGCTGTGTCTGTTGTGTCCTTTTTCTGCCCTCACCTTGCCTTTCAGAGGATTGAACAAAGCTTTGACATTCTCTTTCATTCCCCTCAGAGAATTTCTATTTCTCTGAGGATTTCTACTCTGCTTTCACGGAACCCTTGGGCCAAAACTACCCTCACCTTTTATTTGTATTCTTCTGCGGCTTTAAAGTTCTGAATAAGCTGGTGGCTTCCACCCTGCCAGGAGAAGAGTCCGTTCCCACTGTGTGGGAATTGCAGAAATTCCAGCTGAGAGCAAACCTGGGCTATAACTGCCTCTTTCCTGCGCCTCCCAGCCCGCCCGATTTAGAAGCAGTCATTATGTTTTCCGGAGCCGGTGGCAAGGTGATAAATAAAAAGCAGTTATCCTCAGCGGAGAGGAGCCCGTTTCTTCCTTCATTTAACCTTGGGAGAAGGCTGGGAGGAGACTGCTGTCCTACATAAAGTGCTGCCAAACTTTTCAGAGGTTGTGGTTTCCCTGGTAGGCCCCGGTGACTGCGCGGACGATGATCCCTGCGACGCCTTTGTGGTGGAGGAGACTGAGCGAGGCTTCCAGAGCCGGGTGGAGGTTCCCAGCCCCTTCTACAAGTGAGCCTGTGTGCCTGTGGGGTTTGTTTGAGTTGCTGCCAGCTGAGGAAGCAGTTGAGCACAGAATATTTGTTTTCTTTTTGAGGTCGGGGTGAACGCCGGATCTCCGAAATGTGTTCCGTGCTGTGGATTTGGAAAATTGGCACTGCCTTCCCAGTGTGGTGGTGCCTCGCTCGACTCCCTGCCATCCCCCTGGCAGGGACAGCAGGTGGTGCTTGCTGGCTGGCAGGAGAGCGTTTGAGCATCTCTTCCCTTGAACATAAAAGCATCAGGGAGGGTGGGAGAAGGAAGGGGAGGAAGAAGTGGGGCGAGCAGCCCGGCAGGGGGAAGTTTGTGAAAGCTTTCAGAGCAAGCACACACCACTGGAATTGGCTATTGACTCCAGTCCAGTGTCTACTGGGAAGCCTGTGGTGTTCAAAGCTCTGTCTAGTTATTTCTGACAGTTTTATTAGTTTAAGAGTTTTGCTGAAATGTAGAGAAGGAAAAGTGGTCCGTGGTGTATTTGTATGCTGGCAAATGACTACCTTGAGCAAAGCAAAAAGCAGAAAAAAAGCCCTTAGTTTTTCTTCAGCTGGGATAATGGGAAAAAAGGATAACCCAGCTGACAAATAGGCTGTGGCAGGATGTGCTGGGCAGAGCTGTCATGGACCACCTGACTCATTTTAACTTAAGCCAGTTGTGAGCCACAGCTCAACATCGTCCCATGGTCCCAGGCTGCACACGTGTGGAATCCTGGGAATCACCTCCCTGCCTGGATGGGGTCCTGCACCATCTGTGTGCTGTGTGTGTGCATCCCTCCAGCACAGAAGGACAGAGTCTGGGGGTCCCAGGTGCCTGGGGCCAGCTCAGAGCCTGGGCCATCTCCTGGCCGGACACACTTGGTGGAGAGTGGCCCAGCAACACTTTGTGAGTGAAGCTCTTGCACTTTGTGCCTCCAGGTATATCATTGGGAAGAAAGGGGAAACCAAGAAGAGGCTGGAAACAGAGACTCGAACCTCCATCAGCATCCCCAAGCCTGGAGTGGAAGGAGAAATTGGTGAGTTGAACATGCACAAAACGGATGTGCTTTCACTGGCTCTTGCAAAAACACAGTTTAAGCTGGGAAGGGGAACAGGAGGTGTTTTCCCTTTAATTCCTGTTTCTGACACAGCACTGACTCATTTTATGGCCCTGGGAAAATCACTTCACTTTTCTTCTGATGTTATTTTTTCTGTCTATAAATCCTTACAAAGCAGTGCAAGGTTTTTTGGAAAAAAAAGCCTATTTTAATTCAACAAACAGTTTCACTGTTCTGGGCCTTGAATGACAGGCTTGGGAACTTCGGCCCTTTTTGGTTTTGCTTTTAAAACAGTACCTTTTCCGTTAAGAAGGAACTGAATTAAACATCCAGAGAAAGGAACCCTGTGTGTTTCTGCACAAAATAAACAACAGCATGTGCTTTAATATGAGAAGTGTTTAGATGACATTGCTGCCGTTCCGGTGCTGTCACTCGATCCCGACAGTGAGAGCAGCCTTTCTGGTACCATATGTTCCTTCTCATCACTTCCAGGGGCTTGAAAAGAAAGGAGACATTGCTCATCAGGGCTGACCTGTGCAGGACCTGCCAGAGTGGATATTTGGAGGGCTCCTTAGGGTGTGCTCCAGGGATTGTTGGCACGGTGTGCAGCTCTGTTTGTGACAGAGCTGTGAGGGGGAAGTGCTGGGGGGATCCCACTGTGATGCTGCACGGGAACATGGTGGTACTTCTTGAGAAGTGAATCTTGACTTCTTCCTGAGGACTGTGAAGGACTATTAAAAAGGCTGAGAGATATTAAAATCACGTAATAATAGGAAGCCAAGAAAATTTTGCTCCTTGTGGTTCTTTCCTTTCAAGCTCAAGTGTTCTCCGTTTGGTGCCTTGAAGTGCATGAACAAACGATAACAGGCCATCTTGATCCTTGATAGATTTTCTTTGCTTCTTCACTCTGACTGCCTTTATGAAAACTTGAAATAGTGCTCTAGAAATCTGAAGGGCTGCTGAATTGATGGACTCTCAGTTATTGTTTTTTAGGCACTCAGAGCTGACTTTCTTGAGAGCAGAGGGATACTTTTGATGGAATCATCCTGTCTTTGCAGAGGAAAACACGGCCGTGTCAGGCATTTTAAGTCAAGCGGGGAGTCTGGCAGGATTTCTCAGTGCATGGTTGGGGATTTTGATTCCTACTGCTTCCTCAGGAGCCTGGGACTAACAGCAGAGAGGTGCTGGCATGCAGGTTTTTCTAATTCCCCCCGGCATCTCCTGGGTGAAATGTTCACAAAATCCTCTAATATCGATATTTTAAAGTGCACAGACAAGTATTTGTGTAATGCCACGATCCATTTAATGACTCCTTGTTTAGGTTCCCGGGAGGCAGAGGGGTGTTGCTTTGTTTCCCTGCAGTGATCACCGGGTGTTGCTTTGTTTCCCTGCAGTGATCACCGGGTGTTGCTTTGTTTCCCTGCAGTGATCACCGGGCAGCAGCGGAGCGGAGTCGTCTCCGCCCGGACGCGCATCGATGTGCTCCTGGACAGCTTCCGTAAGAAGCAGCCCTTCACACACTTCCTGTCCTTTGCTCTCAACCAGCCTGCCATCCAGGAGAAGTTCCTGCAGTTCAAGGAGGAAGTGTTGGAGAAATGCTCACAAGTAAGGATCCACATGGGAATTAAAGTGCAGAGTGCTGTTTTTCATTTGTCGAGAGAGCTCTTTGTGTTTACCTTGAAGGCCTTATTCTGTTCTGTTTCCTAGGAATGCATTTTTAACAGGCCTGTTACTTAAGTTGGTGGGTCTGCTGTGAATTTGTTGAGTGCTGTTGTGAAATCTTCTGAAAGGTGGAATGACTTACTTAGTAAATTGTTAGTTACAGTATTTTGTTCTCCTTGGAGGTTTTCCTAGATGGGAGGATATCTAAGATTCAGAAAAGGGTTGGGTTTTTTTATTTTTAATAGGAAAGCCACTAAATAATGTAGTGGACCTTTCTACATTTTATATGATTCCTACATAACCATGAAACCAGATAGGAATTCACGAGTTTGCTGCTGCTTCTTTCACTTTTCCTTTGGCTCCTGACAGTGAAGGAAGATGGGTGTCATTGCCAGAGCTGAGTGAGAAATGACTTGGTAGCACATGGCATCCTGCAAATCTCATCACTTCCCTTCTTCCCCAGGAGACTTTGTGCTGACAGTCCCTCCTACTTGCCTTCAGATCTTGCGTTGGGAGCAGCAGGAAATAGTTAGGCACAGGGAAATGAGGAATGGAATGGAAGAAAGGCTCAGTATTCCCTGGTTTATTTTAGTGTGCATCTAGTTTGACAAGAGTGGTGTGTCAGTGGGCTGGGCCAAGGAGAGGGAATGGTGTTATTAAACTGCTGTGTCCTCTGAGTGTGCTGGAGGACATCTCTGGGCAGGAGAGAAGAGTTCTCTTTGTGGCTGCTGCAGGTTCACTGCACACACACTGAGGGGCTCTGTGGGCTGATAATCTTACCTTCGTGACCCTCACTCCTGCTCGTGCCTTGCAGAGGGGAGAACACAATCGTGCAGATAGCACAGCTCCAGAAGTTTAATTTCCTATGTCTTCGTGCCGTGGGAGTGAATTATCTGATATTTGGGCAGTTCTTGCTCAAGTTCTTGTGGTCACTTGCATGTCAGTTGTCTCATCTCCAAGAGCTGACCTGAGCTGGCTCTCCAGTCTTGTCTTGCCTGGCAGTCCAGATTCAAGCCCTTCTTCTCCTCCCAGCTGCATATTTCCATGACATTTTAGGAGCTTTCTATCACTGGGATTTCCACCTGATGTTAAATACAACTGAAATTGGCCAGCAGATCCCGGGATTAGCCAGTGTGATGCCATGAGAACCCTTTCCTCGGGCCAGGAGGGTCATCTCTCCCCACTGGCCCGTGGCACTACCTCTGTTAAAGCTCACATTGACTCGGAGGGAGCCCTGCAGGCAGGGGGATGGAAACATTAGCCTGAGGAGGCGTTGGCTGGGCAGAGTGCCGGACCTCACACTGGTGTCAGTGGTGGCCTGGCTCCCTCTGTTGGTTTCTAGTCCCAGGGCCAGCCCTTCTCCCTGCAGGGAGCTCCTCTGTGCTGCCTCCTGCTTGGGGTGCAGCTCTGCAGCCCTCCCTTGGCCCAGCCTTGGCTGGTGATCTCACTTGCTCTCCAAACCCCTCCTGATCTTGTCTCTGTCACATTGTTCCTCTCTTTCTCACTCTTAAGTGCCAGTTTGCATGCCTGGGGAGACTGGGAGGTCTGCCATCCCCTTAGAAACATGTTCACAAATTTATCTTTGTGCTTTCCTCGGTGTTGTCACATTCAGAAGGAGCTGCCTGGGAACATCTGCAAACCTTCACGTGCTCCTTGTCCCAGAAAGCTGCAGCAAGCCAACCTTGGTCAGAGAAGTGCTGAGACCAGGCTGGTCATGTTCATTTTATCTCCTCTTGCCTGACATTCTGTCTTTCCTACAGTTTTTGTTCTGTGCCTGGACCGCTGTGAGTCCCATAAGGGCCTGAAATCAGCTCTGGAGTTCCTGGTTTTGGTTTGAAATGCAGGATTCAGTCAGTAACAGGTACTTGGGGGGTTGCATACATGTAGCCTAGGAATATATAGTGCTTTATTTCTCTGCCCTTCCCTCTCCTGGTGTTAGCAGAAGGGTTTCTGGCTGTATTTATTGCTGCCTGTTAGCTGGAGGAGTGTGTTGCAGCCCCATCCATCTCTCAATCACTCCTCCAGCCAGTAATGCCACTCTAATACCACTTCATCTCACAGCAGGGTCTGCTGGAGAGCACATCACTAACACAAAACAGTCATTCAAAACTGTGCCTCCCAGAGCAATAAGAGAACTTATAGGTTTGTCCAAAGCAACGGGATTGCTCAGGATACTTGGGGAAATCTGAATGGGTTTCAGTGACAGGAGCGGGGCGTTTCTCTTCCTGGTGCAAAACATTGCAGAATTGGGTAAACTCCAGCCTTTGAATGAAAGGTAATAACAGCAAGGAAGGGTAAGGACCAGGAGAGTGTGTGTGTGTGTGTGTGTGTGTGTGTGTGTGTGTGTGTGTGTGTGAGGATTTCTTCTGACCATTGAGCATTTGTGAGGGACTCTATTTCTCTCTGAAGCAGTTACCATGACAACCATTCATTTATATTTTATGGCATTATGTTGGTGTGTATGTGCTTTCTAAGTTTTTTTTTTGTGTGTGTGTGTGTCTTTAAAACCTTTTAGAAGATAAACCTTGTGTTGAAATACAGCACACTTCAGGTGTTGTCCATGCTGTACAGTCAGGCTGCCAGTCCTGAGCAGAGCTGAGGGGAGGCTCTCTGGAGGTTAATTTAATATAAACACGGGGAGGTGGCTCACCTGGACAGCTCCTGACTGATGTGGTGCAGTGGGAGGTCCAGATGACTGGATGACCTTGGAAGTCTCCTCACACAGTCGTGTAGGTGTCAGGGTGAGGAAAACTGAAATGTCTGTCTGAGCATGCAGGTGGAAAAGGGAAGAGACTTTGCAGTAATATTGCTGTGAAAAATCACAGTTGGGTCTTTGAGAGCTGTGCAAATGCAGTTTTTGCAGGCTGAACAGGCTGCAGATGTAGCAGGGAAAAGCAACATGATTGCTGTAATATATGGCAACCTGTAAATATCAAACATTGCTAATGAGATATTGTATCTCAGAGTGGAAGGGACAGAGAATGGGAGGGGTTTTGGAGCCTGCAGATCTTCAGTCAATCCTGAGGAAATGCTGTTTTCCTGGCTCACTCCTTTGTTTGCGGATCAGGGTGGCAGAGGGCATATAGCTGGCATGCAGTATCCTGTTATTAGGGGGAAAAAAAACCCAAAACATAAACCTGTCTGCAAACATGTGAAGCTTTTAAGTCAGTAGAGGGGATGCAGCCAGGGAGGAAGAGCTAAGGAGTTGATCCTTTGCCTCATCATGTAGAAGGCCCAAAGTGTCCTGTGGTCTGTGGTTTCCCTACTGAAGGGTCAGAAATTTGAAAGAACAGCTTTTGCAAGGAGAGGTGAAGACTCCAGATAAAACCCTTTCTCCTTCTTCTAAAGGAGGAGAGCAAAGGGCCAAGTCTTAATTAGCAGGAGGGAGGGAAAATGACGATTTTTTTCAGTCTGAGTGTAAATGAGTTGGGATTTTTTTTGACTGTGACAGGGCAGTGTCAGGGAGAGATGTGAGCTAAAATGGGCAGTCATCACGTAGGGATGGTGCATAAAGGGATTATTCTTCCTGCCTCAGAGAACCCAAGTTTGAACAGTAAATTTTTAGAGACATTTTTAGGGCTTCCTGTGAGGCAACATAGTGGTCGCTGATGGCATATCATAATCTGGGACTAGAATAAGTGGGTTCCAGCCTTTTTGCATCCCAGCAAGCAGTATCCAGCCATGAAGGGCTGCCAAGACACCCGTGGGAACGTTGGCTGTTCCAGGGAGAGCTCCCTCTGACGCAGCATCTCGTTTACGTGTGGGAGAAGTGGGATCTGCTGGCCTGTGAAAGAGTAGGGAGTGTAAGCAGGATTTTGAGGAGCTGTCTGAAATACTAGGGAGTAAAGTAGGAAGATTATCTAGGTCTTGTCCTGCTCTCTGTGCACTGCCCCTCCCTGCTGAGCCCCCTGGCAGTGGTAGTGTGGCTCGGGGAGGTGACGTGCCATCGCTTCACCAGCTCTCAGCCCACACTCAGGGCTTGCAAAGCTCAGGGGAAAAGGCTGCTTTTGGGGCAGGTTGGTGTTTACAGCACAAATCGTGCTGTGGCAGAAAATGAGGCTTTGGCTTTCTGACCTGCAAACTGCTTTGCTGCTGTACCTCATCTGTGTGCACTGTGGGAGTGACACCGGCTGGTTGTCCGTGGTGAGGATAAATCAAACCTTCTCCCACTTTCTGCTGTTTTGTGATGGGCCAAATATTCTCTGGCTACAGATCTCATTGGGGAAAAAAGGCTGACAGAGAGAAAGCATGTTCTGTCATGCATGTTAACAGCAGGGTGAATTAAAGGAAGCTGCAAGGTTTTTACTGCAGGGAGAGGAAGGCGGGGAGAAGTGAGATGGGACCATCCCTGTTTTTTGCCAGCCTGTGACTGCTGGAGCAAGCCCCTGGCCTCTGTGTTGCAGCCTGGCTTGTCCCTAGTCCAGCCCATAAGCTCTGCTGTAAAGAAGGGTCTGGATGTGGTCATTAGGCATGAAAAATGCTGAGTGAGATGTGGGGCATTGAACTCTTGATGGGCTGAGATACTGCAGTGTTTAAACATCTGAAAGGTTTTATTTCAAAGTCTGGAGCACAGCTAGAAGCTTCAAAGCTGTCATTCTCAGTCAGTGGACTCTTTTCAGATGGAGAAAAGTTTCTATGGTCTGGCAGGTTGGCTTCTTCTGGAGTTAAAATTGGAGGTTATTTAATGCGCTGATGGGAAATGGCCACAAAGTGGAAATAATTTTTTTAATATGGGTGTGTTAACCATCCTCGAGGTATTTTTAAAAGTATCCTAGAACAAAAGAGCGTGTTTCTTAAAGCTGAATGTAACCACTGCTCCACCTGGGAACAGTTCTTCCCCAGCAACAACACGCAGCTCTTCTTATAAAGGGAATTTAAACTTAATTCATCTTGGCAAACTATAGGGCACATGGGAAGAAGAAAAACGTAATTATCAGAGCTGGTATTAGCTGTGCTTGTGTTGTGAGATGTAACCTGTGTTTAGACAGGATTTAGAGACCATTTAGAGCTTGTCACTACAGCTGGTTCCAGTGTTACTGCACAAGAAATGGACTTAGGTATTAAATCTGTGCTGGCTTGTGTTGAGTTCGTTGCTGGTGGCAGCTGCTGCTTCAACATCTGTGGAAGTCTCATCCCGAAACCCTGTGAGTGCTGCTGGTCCTGGGTCCCAAATTGCAACCTGTTGGAATGTGCTTCCAGGCTGCTGTTCAGCAGGAAAGGCAGGCAGGGAGCTGTGGGACTGTGCCTCTCCTGCCAGGCTGAGCTCGATTCCTCACAAAGCCTGGGAAATTTTGTTTCTCAACTTGGAATCATTACTGACCCAACTAGAGATAAAAGTACCAATGTCAGGGGCTCAGTGCCTGTTCTCTGTGGTATTTATCCCTCTGATGGAGGGGGGTGGGTGTGTGGATGAGGTAAGACACCTATATATGATGGACTGACTGATTTGTAGGATCACGGGGTCAGCAGCAGCCTGTTCCAGAACCCTGCAAAGCTTCACCTGACTCTTGGGACGCTGGTACTCCTGAATGAACAAGAGATCCAGAAAGCGTGTGACCTCCTACAGCAATGCAAAGAGGACTTTGTGGAGTAAGTGATGGAAAAGGGATGTCATCACCAAGGGTCGGGTGGGGGGAAAGCAGTACGCTGTCTTTGACAGGGACTGTGATGAGAAAAGCAGCTCAATAGTCTCTCTCAACACTAGAAATTTAGGAAAAAGCTGAAACCTTTCAAATGGGAGCAGTAGAAATCACCAAGCAGCCACAAAGAGCCTAAGAGCATCTTGCAGCTCAGCCCAGCCCCTCAGCACTCCCTGAAAACCTGCTCTGCTCATTTCTGTTTCCCACGTGCGCCCCCGGGTATTTTTTTGTGCGAGGTTTGTGCCGCTGCCCCGTCCCTGCTGCAGGGGGAGGGCCGAGCTCCCTCACCTGTGCACGTGTCCTGCAGCGGGCTCTGGCACGGAGCAGATGCTGAGGTGTCCTTGACACGCATTCCTTGCCGTGGGAGCCGTGTGCTGGGAAGGCAGCCCGAGCCATGTGAGCAATCAGCCTGACAGCTCCGCTCCGGGACCGCGGCTGCCTCGCTGCCTGTTAACGCCGAGCTGCAGATGTTGGGGCTCTAGCTGCAAATGTGGTCCAACGACACCGTAATTAGCTTATCTCTGCTCAGCTTAGAAATTGGAGATGGCCTGAGGGAGGGGGTTATTTATTTATTTCTGCCAAGCCTTTGCACACAGAGCACGGATCCTTCGGATTCAGTTATTTGTTGCCTCCGTGCAAGAATTGGCCACGCTGTGCCAGGTGGTATCTGTGGGAATTAATGCCAAAATTCATACCTCTGCCTTTAAAATGACAGCTCCAGTTGTTCAGCTGTTGAACAGAAATGCGAGTCTGTTTCCAGGGGGAGGCTCTGCCTGCAATGTTTTGAAAGTGCCAGCTTCCTCATAAGTGCTTTGAACTGAGGTGGAGAAAATCTTTGCTCCCCATTTTCTTTAGTGGAGGGGGAATCAACACTTGAATGTAACCTTTAGGTTATTCCCCCTGCCACACCCAAATAAATATACTTGCAAAATTAGCCACATAAACCTTCATTAGCCTTCATTTCCTTTTCTAAGTGCAGGCAGTGCCCTGTGAAGGTAGATGTGACCTTTTTGACCCTTTTTTTTTTTAAAATACATAACCTTTAGTGCTGTGGGTGTGATGTGCATAATAGTTCATTTGTGCTGTTCTCCTCCCAGTAACCTTACTGGGAAGGGAAATCATTATTCCACTTGGGAATCTTAGCTGAGAACCTCAAAGGCGGTTGCACGGGCAAGCCAGAGCCGAGCAAGGTCAGAGCAAAGTCGTGCTCACCTTGTTAACTCGTGTTTGTTACATCTGCCTGCCCAGACACTCCCTGTGCTTTCCAGCAGGCCTCGGTGTTAAACAAGGCATCACTTACTCACAGGGAGCACTGCTCTGGTGGGAAAGGCGAGGAGGCGGCGTGTTGGGAAGCAGATCCACTTCCCAGTGTGTTTGCAGGTGTGGGAGTGCACATTACATCCTGCACGCGTTTGCAGTGTCGCCTTCCTGCAAGAGGAGCTGGAGCTGACTTTAAACCAGCTCAGCTTACTGGGGGATGTTGCAGTGTGCTTAGAACTGTGCTCTGTATCAAGCGGCTTTCCCAGCGAAAATCAGCAAGCTGGAGACTCTGTCACGGTTGCTCTTTTCACAGGGAAGGCAGGAGCCTCTCTGGAATGAGAACTTGTGCTGTTTACTGCTGGTGGGTTTTCTGAGATGACCACGGAGGTTGAGGTGGCCTGTGAACACTGACAGGTCGACTTAATATGTGTCAGAAACACTGAACAGATGAATTTAAACTATTTTACTTCTTGAGATGGTAAGACAATAGGAACAATAGCCTTTTGAGCTTTAGGACGTAGGGAACCTTTTTGTGTTTGATTTTTTTTTTTTCAGTGAAGACAACCTGAAAGATTTGGAAAAGTGAAGAACTCCTCAGTGGTCTGTGTAATAACCTCAAATTGGTGTCTAACTGCGGCCAAAAAAAAGTATTTTACATCATTCCCTTAGCAAACCCAAATATTTGGCGTGTGCATGAGGAGCGCTGTGGGTTGCATTTCAAAAGCAGGTGTGGCATTTTGCTTTTTAACGTGAGGGGTTTCTTGGGTTTTAGCCAAATCACCGGAGGCAAGCCCCTGACCGTGGAGGTGGCGGGAGTGGAGTACATGAACGACGACCCTGCCATGACCGACGTCCTTTACGCCAAAGTCCGCATGAAGGACGGCTCAGACAGGTGAGTTCCCCAGGCCCCTTTCCCTCATTCCCCCTCGGTGTGCCAGGGAAACCCTCTGGGGCTGGTGGGCCCTGCTGGCAGCCCTCGGGCCAGCAGTCAGGAAGATGAAGTCATCCTCGCTTCCTAAACCGGTTAAGGCAGTGATGTGTTTGCTCTTTGAATCAGTCACTGGTGGTGCAGCTGAAAGGTGTCATTTGTTCCTGCAGTGGCCTGTCAGGTTGAATAATGGAGTCACAGCTCACACGGGGATAAGATGGCCAAGGAGATACTCCTGAGATGACTTAGAAGGCAGGACGACTTGGCCTCTGCTGTCTAGTTCCCACCCTGCAATCCAGATTAATCTGGACAGCCTGGCCTATTCTTCAGCACTTAATTATTCTTAAAACCCAGTTACCCCAGAAGGTTCTCAGAAGAGCATGGCTTGATTACAGAGTTGGTTGCTGTGTCTGTAGCAGCCTGGAAAGGGTGCTGGGTGTGAAATGTCTGAGCTGCTGCTGTGAAATCTTGAAGCCTGGTTGGTGTCAGTGTCAGTGTTTGTGCTGTTTACCACTGGGGCTTATGGCTTTGGTTCTACAAGCACTGCCCAGGATGTGGCAGTGTCTGGACAACCTTCCTCCACCTTGTTTTTGGCAGGTACATCACACATGGCAGCACCACCTTTTCTTTTGGTGCTTTCTGGAAGACCGAGGAAACCGGATGGGGCTTGGAACAACCTGGTCTAGTGGAAGGTGTCCCTGATCCTGAATGGCCCTCCCAACCCAAACCATTCTAGGATTCTGTGATTAACAAAGAGGGAAGGGGAGTAGCCAAAAGAGCTTCAGCCTCCTCTCTCTGAGCCTCAGCCTTCTCTTTTCCTGACAGCACTGCCCTTTTGTTGTCCGTTCCCATTGCCAGAGGACAGCAGGAGCTAGCAGGGGAGCGTGGAGCAGTGCAGCTGGAGGAGGGAGGCAGTGAGCAGGGACTGGCTCAGGGAAGAAGGGACATGTTCTGGCATCTCCTTTCCTCAAGGGCTGAGGAGACAGAAGGGCCACCTGCTTAAAACCACACTGTGGAGGCTGTGTTGAAATAAGAGATCGGAAGTGGGATAAGGAAATGGGTGGGAAAATGAAAAATGTAAGAATTGCTGGGAGGCAGTAGGAATTGAAATCGTTTCCTTTTCTTGGCTCTTCCACTTTGAAGTCTGTCCTACCCTGAAAGAGGTGAGATAAAACAGGCGAGGCGGGTGGAGAACCAGGGCAAGCTAGAGATCAGCCAGGAGACAGAGCACAGGGAGACAGAAGGCAGAAGCACTCGGAAAGATGAGAAGAAAGCAGACACTGGGTGACCCAAATGCCCTTCAGTGGGTTTGTTGTGGAGAGCATCTAAAATACCAGCTCTGAGAGCTGAGGTATGGGCCTGTTCTCCTGAGTCACTGAGCTCTGGGGTTCTCTGAGCCTGCTTGCCTCTGGAAACAGGTCTGCGGCCTGAGGAGCAGGGAGAGTATCCTGTGGAGCATAAGTAGGGCCTGAACTGCCAGTGATGTCTGCCTGCCTCTGAGGACAGCTTGGATTGTTGGTACTAGCACTGTGGTCTGTTCAGGTGCCAGCTGGATCCCTTCTGCTGAGAACCCACTTAGCCATAATGCTAGAAAAAGTGCTGATGTGCATCAGGGGTGGCAGAGCTGCTTTGGGCAGCTCTTCAAATCCACCTTGCCTTCAAACTGAAAACAGCCCCCCACACCACCACTCTGGGAAAGGGCCGGTGTCTCATCTGTTCTTCACAGAGAGCTGTTAGCTCAGACCTTGTGCTTCTTGTGGCACTTGGAGGCTGCCAGGCTTCTCTTCCACAGAGGTTGTTTTGCTTTTTGCATAGCAGTGGGCTCAGAGAGGGCCAAGGAATTGAAGTTTTAATCCTTGGCCCAGGCTGGTTCTGCCCTCACGGGCAAATTAATTCATCTGGCACTTCCCCCCTAATATAGTTCCTTAACTGTTAGCAAGCATCCAGAAAACCATTTAGCTTTGCAGAGGTGAAAGCAGGTATTTTTATGTTGATTGAGAGCAGTTTTTGCTTCCATTGAGATTCCAGCAGACACCGTGTTGGACCAACAGTAAAGAGGGAACAAATGGTGATCTCTCCAGAAAACTCTGCTTTGTTTTCTGGCCTGCAAGACAAACCATTGCTGAGCAGCTCCTTGCACTTCTTGCCTGCTGAAACCTGCTGTGCCTTGCTCAGGGAAATGGGTAGAAAGCAGTTTCTGAGCTGCAAGGCCAATACTAGAGGAGAGCAGCGACCACGTGGCTTTCTGTGCTGGATCAGACTGCTGCAGCCTGTGTTGGAGAGAGGTGTGTGCCTTCCTGTCTCATGCAAGATGTCCTGTTAGCTCTGTGTAGTTGCTGGCATGGCTGAGGGGTGGAGTTCCTTCCTGATCTTTGGATCATCTTGATCAGCTTAAGCTGTAAAGCAGGAGATTTGATTTATCCTGACTTAGCTTGCGTAACTGCAGACAGAATTAGGGGTTGGCAAGCCCTTCTGCACATATAATGGCTCAGACTGAAAGAGGGATCATGCTCTGATGCCTCCCACATGGCAAATAATTTCCATTATAATTCATTCTAATTTGTTTTATTTCCTTGATTAACTTTATAACGTAATAAAGCACCATTTTCACTTGAGCTATTCTCTGTTAATTTGTTTTAGTATTGTCTGTAATGATATTCATTTAATCTTTGTCATTGCTAATTTTAAAAATCACTGAAGTAAAGCCAGGAAATGTAGAAAGCCATGACAATTGGTAGTTTGAGAGTCTTGGAATAGTCACATGGGGGCTTGTAGCCCGTGAGGGGCAGTCCAAAGCCAGTGGTGGGGTAGGAGCTGGCACCTGGAGCGTGGCAGCCCCGGGCTCTGGGGACCAGCCTCAGAGCAGCCATGCTCTGCTGCAGCTGAGGCACCAAAGTGGTGGGACCTCACGGAGCAGAAAGCTCTCTAATCCCTGGGACGTGCTGAGAGAGGCCCAGATCCTTCTGCATGGGCTTAGTACCCTCTGGCCTTGTTTTTGGGGATGGGAAGCTCTTGCTCTGTCACATCCTCGCTGCTTTTGGTAAGGCTCAGGCACTGTGGAAATCTTTTGGGGATGGCAGCAGCCTGGAATTTCCTTCAGCTCTTTAGGCACAGGATATGTGTTGCTCTGCTCCTGCTCCTGCCGCCTATCCCAGGACAGGTCTGCCCACAGATCCCAGCAGCCACGGCCACTGTCATCCCTGAGCAAGGCAGACACAAAGGTGGGAATAAGTCTTTTGGTTCTGCTTGCTCAGTAGCTCCAAAGCTGGAGTGTTCACCAGGATGTGCTGTCCGGGTTCGTGCCCTCTGTCACCACGTTCTGGGCTCTCCCAGAAATTAAGTCCAGTGACTGGTTTGCTTATTTGGGGCACAGAAGGTCCAGGCTCCAGCAGTCCCTGAGCAGATCCTCTGGGACACAAGGTGCCTAAGCCCCTGTGGGTCTGCAGATTGTAGCGTTTGCAGGGAGAGTCACATTGTGTTTCCTGGCAGGAGAGAGATGCATCCTTCAGCTCCCAGTAACATCTGTCACTGTGAACGAGCTCTCTGCTGTGCTAAATCTGCCCTTCTTCCTGGAATATCTGCAGCAGAAGCGATCACGGAGGAAGCTTTGCGAGACAGCCAGAACTTTTTGCATTGGAACTGAATCTTGATGTCTCTGCTCACTTTCCATCAGGGACCAGCTCCCTTTCCTGTGTGCGTGCAGAGACTTCATTTCTCACTTGCTGCCCTCCCGGCTGAAAAGCCAAAGGCTGGTGATGCAGGGGTTTCTCCTTAGTTTACGTGGCTCTGTTCTTTCTCTTTTTGTCCTCCCAGATTGCAGGTGATCGCTGATCAGCTGGTGGAGCGGTTTGTGGCCTCTGGCCTGATGCTCAAAGAATGGGACAGGGTGAAGCTGCACGCTACAGTCATGAACACTCTCTTCAGGAAAGATCCAAGTACGTACAGACCCTTCATCCTTACTGATAAGTGCATTTAAAGGAGTCCTGCTGCTCAGCAAATGCTTTTGTTGTTTGCTTTTTCAATGGTGTGATTTTTCTTAATCTCAAGAATACCTGCAGGGCTGTGGGGGGATGTCAGGAGATAAAACCAAGGAGAAAATTAAAAAAGCCATCAGCAGAGTCACAGGTTCAAAAACCCTGTCGCCCAGGAGCACTCGCAGGATCTGGGCCAGGGAGGAACATTCAAGTACCATCTGAAGTCTTGGGCTCTCTGTGCCCCAGTGTTAAATTGAAATTGGGTGACAACTCCGTGTGCTGTGCTGACCTTTAAACAAGATGAAAACATAATCCTCTTTGGTCAAGTTAAAGATTGCCCGTTGGTTTAGGGGCGTGATTCCAGCGTGTTTCTCCTTAAATGAGATGCAGACGGCTGTGAGGCTGAATGTGAGCTATTCTTGAGTGTATGGCGTCTGCCGGCTCTGCCAAGAGATTGTCTGCTCTGGCAGTCTGTTCTTATCACGTTACTTTATAAAGCAGCCTCAAAAGCATCGTGTCTGGGGAGGGGCAGTGTGTTACAGCCTGGTTCTCCACGCACAAACATGTGTGTGCTCTGCCACGGTGACCCCCGTGCAGCCCAGTGGGTTGTGTTGGGGATTCTCTAGTTGCTGCCTCTCTGAGTCTCTGCGTGAAGAGTGATAAGAGCAGGTGATTTGTGTCATGGTTTTCTGGGCAGGTTTTGCATCTGCCTGGTCCTGAAGTCAGATAAGCACAATTTTCTGTCTCAAATCGAGACCCAAAAACGTGAGCTCAGAGTGTTGGTGTGGCTCTCTGTGATGGGAGGCACATGGGCAGCTATGCCTGGCATTCTGACTCTCTGTTCTGCACAACCCCATGAGGCATGTGAGGCATTCAGACACTATGGGGAGAGCATTCTGCAGGCAGCCATGGAAATTGCTTTATATTCCATACAGCATTTGAATAGCAGGCTGGATGTGAGGGGGACTTCATAGTTAATGCTGGAGATGAAAAAGGAATATTGAATATATTCACCGAGTGAGGCAGAGGTCCTGTGGAAAGAACAGATCATGTACTGAGGGATTATATAAAAATCCAGACATGCTCTGGGGAAATGGATCTCAGACATAGGCATTTGGCAGTCGCTGTAGGCCCAGGTTGCTGTCCTGAATGTCTGTGTGGCTGTGTGCCCACCCCAGCAGAAGCACCCACAGCACATGGATGTGCTCCCCGGAGCGGGCGGCAGAGGTTTGTGTCGGTGCTGTCCAGATCCGGATCACCCCTGGCATTGTGCTGGCACACTCAGCCTGGGATTTGGTGCTGTTCCAGGTGATGCTTTTACCCTGGCATGGCTGGATGTGGCATTAAAATCAGCCAGAGAGAAACAGGTGTGTTGCACTGAGCCATCAGCCCGTAGCTCTGATTTAGGGTCTTTCCTCCAGGTGACACAGGTGATCCCAATAGAGGCTGCCTATTTCCTTTCCTGCCTTATTCCCTTCAAAAGGGAAAGTGGGTTTTTTGCACTGAGAACAAGGTCTATTAGCTGGCAGCTGACTTTGGGGAGGGACAGAGTGGGGGGTGAAGTACAGCACACAGAGTTCTCCCATCTGAAGCTCATTCTGGTGGTGGCTTTTCTGTCTCCAGCTGAAGAGCGAAACAACACAATGACTGGTAAATCATCTTTCAAGGAGCGGGAGTCATTTAATGGCCGAAATATCCTCAAGGTCAGTATGAAACAATTAGGGAAATGGGCCCAGCTGTGGATACTGTATAGCCAAAAGAGGTTGAAACACCTCTTCAAGACTGCTTTTGTCTTAGGCTTATGGGATCTCCTGTGAGGGGGGGGGGAAGTCTGTTTAGAAAATAAACAATCCAGATCTCTCCTAATTGGGAGCATTACAGTATTTAACAGAAGCATTCCTGAAGCTGCTGAGGCTCAGAGCAGGAATATGTAGCACGAATGCTAAGTGGGTGTTCATGTTGTCATTTACTTCATTCCTGTTTTACCCTGGAGACTCAGGCTCTTGTTGATTCCCAACCCACCAGAAAGAAGCACTTTGTTGCTCTTGTTCTACTCATATATATTTATGAAACTAAACCCGACTCTCATTTCACTTATTCTTTTCTTCTTGTTTTTAATCTCTGCTATTGATTTGCATGGGTTTGCTCCAGAAAAATAGCAGGTAGCAGTAGGGAGTCCCACCAGCCAGGATCTGAGGGCTTTGGTAGTGATCAGAGCATGGAAAACATGATCCTGCATTGTGGAGGTGGGTAAGGCTTGAAGGGGAGCATCCTGCAGCCTCCCAGGCTTTGCCAGCCAGGATTGGGATGCAGGCAGCCTCTGCTGCTCATCCAGATGGCTGTGGCAGAGTGGGGCTGTGGTTGCTTGACCCCTACAAGTGTCCAGAGAGAAAAGAGATGCACAGAAGAGCAGAAATGGCAAACAGCACTGGGTTGTAAGCAAATTTGCAATCCTCATTGTGTGAGAGGATTTTGTTGCAGGCAGCTCTGATAAGAGGGAGCCAGGACAATGCATGGATACATGTGGGAACGTTTAGGAGATATTCTGGCAACAAAGAAACATGAGAGAGGATTCAGCCTGGGTGGGAGCTGGACAGCCCAGAAAGACTTCAGAGTCCTCCCAGAGGACTCTGAATTAAATACATTTAATAATGTATTAGGCAGTGGATGCAGGGGGCTGTGAAGGCAGGGAGTGGAAGTGATTGATCTCCTCTGTGCAGAGGACAAACAAAGGGACAAAATTAGGTTAAGCTCTCATTGTCCTCAAGCGGTCTGTGCGAGCGCGGTGTCATGACTCAGCGTCGCCACACGTTGAGTGTGCAGTGTGAGACTGCAGTATTGCGAGCTGGAGCAGGAAAGCCACAGACACGGTCCCCTTCCTAACGTGATCTGCAAGTTTTGGTTTAGCTCCCGGTGTGGGAGAGCCGGCCCCGGGAAGTGGAGGTGTGTCAGGAGCCCTGAGTGCCTGCAGGGACTCGGCTTGCACGGCGTACACCTTCACTGCTTTCTCTTGCTTCTGTTAAACTTGTCCTCAGGCTTTACAGAAACATCAGATCAAACTGGGGGTCTCCCTCAGTGCTCCTCCTTCCAAAGCATTTGTGATCGGGAAGGCATTAACGATGCTCCCTCTGCCGGTCACACCGTCTGTGGGGTCTGAGGATCGGGGCGGGGGGGGAGGATGATCTTGTGGTGCTCAGAAATGCAACTGCCCTCCCTCCGAGGCCGCTCCTTATTCTTGATGCTCTCGGCAATACGAGCCAATGCATTTTTAAAGCTCCTAATTGATTTTGTACTGACGTAGCCAAAGGAGCTGCTGGCTGTTTGGACTGTTGGTAATTACTTCAAAGCCTGTCTTGCCGCAAGAAATGTCATCCTCCTCTCCCACCTCCACCACATTTCCTAACCTGCTCGCTTCCTATTTCCCTTTGGTCTCCCACGTGCCTGCAGCAGAACGCCCGTTGGCATTAATTAATTACATGAGTCATAAATAGCTCCAGGCTTCGTACCGGAGGAGCCCAAGCCTCAGTGAGCCACTGATGCATTCCAGCGTGACCTTGCAAGGATGCGCCGCTTCCCTCCCAGCCCGCTTTTATATCCATTATTTATCTTGTGCTCGGGGAGGCTGCCCTCTCACAAAGTGGCTTCATTAACTTCTGCACTCGGATCTAAACGACGGGCTGTTAATGAATATGGCTGCAGTTAGGCAGGGTGGTGGGAGGGAGAGCCACGTGTGATTCCAGGTGGTGGGACTCTGCCACAGCCGTGCCGAGTGGCCGTGTTCCCACTTGGAACGCTAACAAAGCGTGGCTACTGGCAGGAGGGCATGAAGTGGGGAAACTCAGGTTTCATTCCTCTCGTTCCCATTGTGCAGCCAAAGGCTTTGCCGAGCAGAGGGCAGGACCTGAGCTATGGGAGCACGGATCTCGACGGAGACGCCGTGACTCTGCTGCTCCAGGCTGAGGAGGCTCCCCGTGGTCAGAGCTGGGGGATGTGTGTGTGCAGATGCACTGGCAGCACATGTTTGCTGATACCATGCCTGCGTTACCCCAGGCTCCAGCTGGTATTTTGCTTTCAGCTGAACTAATCGGAATTTTATTTAATAATCCTTTGTTCTACCCGTTCCACAGAGTTAAACACACACTCCTATTTGTGCTAATAAATGGCTGTGCAGGCCGGTACCTTCCCACACTGCTCAGAAAATAGATTCTGTAGGATGAGTTGCTTTGGGGAGTTTAAATTACTTCTGTCTTGAAGAATATCCGTGAAAAAGGCTTCCTGGCATAGGTGGAGCTGAGAGCCCAAGGGATTGTGTGACCCAACAGATTTGTGTCTCACAAAGCTTTGGCATTGTGCTTGCCTAGTCTAGTCCCGAAAAGCTGGAGATGCTTCGTGGACCCCTTCCCACGAAGCGGTATGCATTCCTTCTGGGCTGGCTAGTGGCTTTGAACATCCCAGTCACGTACCGGAGTCGTGCTCCGGTCGGGAGCAAAGTGTCTCATCTCTTGGAGAGCGGAGGGAGGAGGCAGCGATTCAGGGCTGAGAGACATGGGCAGCTCCTTCCCCAGGGCGAGGGCAGGGCCAGGCCCGGGAGAGGTGCTGGTTTGGCAGCCCCCCTGCCCTGCCTGCTCCCGTGTGCCCGGCGGTGGCCGCGTGCCCTGCGTGGCAGCTGGCACGGCGCTGGCACGGAGGCGGCCGGGCAGCTGCGGCATCTCCGGAGACAGGGCTGCGCTGCCTCCGGGCTTTTATTTGTTTCACTCGGTGGAAAAAAAACTAGGGCTGCAGTGAATAAATAAAAACAAACAGAAACGTGAAGGGACCGCCCGGCCAAAAATTTCTGTGATGCATTTGAGGGAAAGGAAGGCTTGCAGGAGGAAGAAAACCACCTGGGCTTTCACTGGTTTAAAATGGAACGATTTTTGGCTCGAGCTGAGGTCTGAGGAGTGAAAGAATGGCCTTTGCCACGTTCAGACAAGAAGGAAGCAAATTTTTGAGTAGAGAAAAAGCTGAAGCCTGCCGCTTAGCACAGATCTGTGCATTAGCAGCTTACAAGATTAAATATTGAGGGAACAGCTACTGAGGTACAGCAGCAGAAAGCTGCACATCTGATGTCTTAGGGCATTAGGGGAGACTTTAGGCTGGGATGGAAGACTGGGAACTGGATCAGCTGAGGCAGTGACACATGCTGCCATGCCCTGCTCCAGCAGTGGGGCTCTGGGAGGGCTTCTAGGTCAGACAAGGCATAATTTGATGAGGCTCCTTTTCTTTTTAGGGCTGCATTAGGGTATTAAATTATGGGACTGTATCTGCTTTCACTTAGAGCGGAGGAAAGTGCATTTACTGGCTGATATACTGGAGAGCTGACGTAGCAAAGGAATTTGGTACTGTTCTCTGTTACTGTGCCTGTCCTGCTGGGTAAGAGCAGTGGCATGCAGCAGTTCAGTTTAAGACATTTGATGCAGTGCCATATAGAGAGATACGATGAAAAAGAAAAATCATGGCCCTCAAAATACCCCAAGACCATCAAGCACTAAACAAATAAACACGTGCCCCCGTTTAGAGCCAACTCCACTTGCGGTTGGGGAGTGTGTCTCATGTTCTGCAGCCACTGGGACCCAGGCCTTTTGTGTAACTTTTGTTTGTGGATTTAAGGAGGCTGAGCCTTTTCTTGATGTACTTTTTAGATGAGGTGAAATCAAAGGGCCAAAGAACCGGCATTAAGTGAGGATCAAGACTGCCTGGTGTTTGGAAAGAGTAAGAACATCTTGTTATCCTCAGTGAGGTGGTGAAGGTGTAGATCTGAAGTAGGACTGGCAACTGGAACAAACACTTAACGGGAGGTGGCTGTTTGGAAAGTTTACAGTTAAAAATACCAAACAAAAAATCCACTGGGGTGAGAAGAGACTGAATAAGAGATTGTGGTGCAACATTGTTGTCTCATATAAGAGACATCGTTGTCTCAAATAAGCCAGTGCTTTTCCTCACCTGGGTTTTAGAGAAGAATCAAAAGCACAAATGAAAGGCTGCGATGCCGCTTTGCAGAGGGGAGAATTCCTGCCTTCAGGTGTGACCCTGCCATTATGGAGAGATACCGGAGCGATCGAGGGGGCTCAGCAGTGTGCAATTAGAGCAACAGTGGGATGGCAGGATGTGACAGTTGAGCAGATGAGATTGGAGATCATTTGTATGATCATGGGGAAAAAGAAGGAGATTAAATTGGGGTTGCTGTGAAAACGCTTTCCTATGAATTATATTCTTCAGGGGGGAAAAAAGGCATATTCTTGTTATTTGCATTCGATGAAACAGGAATTTGATGTGGCATTTGAAAAATCAGACTAGACAATAGAGGAAAAACGTCTTTGTTGGAATGTTTGGGCCTTGGAGGCAGCACTGGAGGTGTTGAGGGGAAGCTGAGCTGCTGAGGAGAACGCAGTGCAGGAGGTACAGAAGGTTTGTGCTAGGTCTGTGTGACAGGGATCTGTTGGATGACCTTACCAAGAGGGGGAGAAGCCTCTTTGTTTTCCTTTCAGAGGTGCTCAGCACCTCTCTGACTAATTTTAGCAGGGACTGTGAGTGCTGGAAGAAGGAGGATTTGTTGAGAGGGCTATAAGATTTCTGAATTCTCTTGCCCCTGCACTGCTGCAGTCCCACCCAGCCCAGGGGCTGAGCCCTTTCAGCAGTGCTGTGGGTGCCTCTGCCTCCCACCCAGTGGGCATCCTGCCTCCTCATTTCCCTGAGATCCCTGTTCTGCCACCATCCAGCCGAGGCAGCATCACCTCTTTGATCTTAGGAGGACAATTTTTCTCCGTGGAGCTGGCAGGGGTTGAATTACAGCAGCGTCTTAATAGAAGGCAGGGACCCAACACATTAAATGTGCAAAAAACCCAACCCACTGATTAGCAAAAGTAGGCAGTTCGTCCCAAAGGTGCCATGACCCTTCTGCTGGATAATTTTCCAGGTCTGTCCAAGTTGAATTACTGGCTCTGTAGCCAGACTCCTCCTCCTGGTGGTTCAGTGAGTGGAGCCAGTAGGTCACATTGATGGGAGCTCCTTGTCGTAGTGTTCCCGGATGCATCTCAAGCCTCCTGGCATCTCTTCAGCAAAGCCAAAACCCAGCTCTTAAAAACTGTTGCTGCATTTGCTATAATAGGAGCCACGGGAATGAGGCTTCTTTGGAGAAATGCAGTGCTTGATTATTAATTTCCTTAAGTCGTACCATAAATCCCTCATGTTTGAAGCATAGCAGGGTCTGGGAAATTATTGGAGCCTTTAACATGCTGGAAGGGTTTTTTATTCTTGTCTGAAAGATGTGCAAAAATCTGGTAACCTCCAAATGTCCCACTTGTATTTGTTTCTTAGTTTGCAGAATGCCTTTCACCATAGCAACTAGGGTCTGATTTCCTCAAGCGCATGAATTTTCATGGATTTGTGGCAGGGGGGAACGGACCCAAAACCCTGAGCTAAAGCAAAGGTTTTGCAGTGTGGCAGTGGCAGGAGCACTACTGGATTTGGCTTGTGAAGGAGGCAGGGGACCCTGGAGGGACAGGATCTCAGCTGAACAAAGACCTGCACCTGGCCCCAGACAATTCTATCTGCAAAAAAATCCAGCCTGACAGATTAATTTAGACTATTGCTGAATGTCACCCTCCCCACTGCTGCATCACCCTCTGGCAGCTGAGGTGGCTTTGCTCCAGTTTTATGAGGAGCTGAGGTTTCACAGGGCAGCAGCCAGGGAAGGATCGGCCGCTTCCATGTTCACAGAGCCAAAAACCTCGTACCCTTCCCACCCGTGGGGGCAGAAGGGTGTTATGGGCAGCATGAAATGTGCTCCTCTTCGGTCTGCAGGTGAAACCCAGCTGGGCAGAGGCAGGAATGTTGTGTTAGCAGGAGGGAGCGGAGCTCCAAATGGTCTGGAGAAATCAGGTGGAAACAAACAGGCTGCTGCAAACAAGGGCGGGTGGAGGAGGGAGCGGTGGCACCGGTGTAGGGTGGGGAAGTGCCCGATACAACCCCGTGGGCCAGGGTTTGGGTTAGGAGGGGGTCTCTGGAAATAAAAGAAAGAGGCAAATGTCTGCAGAGTAAACCTCTGACTACGCTTGGCTGAAGGGTTCACCCAGTTCTGGGTACCGTGGGTGGGTGCAAAGAGCCCAGGGGGAAACAATAAGATAATTGGAGGGGTAGAAAATGCCTACAAGCTGGGGCTGGAAAGACTTAGAGTTGTTTTGAGTTAATAAAGGGAAGGAGGGCAGCATGTGAAGGTTCAAGTAGTGTATCCACTAGTATCCAGTAGTGGATACTTTGTCCTCCATGCTTTGATGGTAGAGTGATAAATAATGCGCTTAAGTTGCAGCAAGAGAGCAGGAAAATCCTTGGAAAGGGAAGGATAATGAAGTACAGCTCTAGAGGAGCTGGGAAATGGGGATCCTGGTTGTTTTGGGGGAGCAGAGATATTAGTCCAAGTTCTGCCACCAAGGAGCTCCTCCTCCCTAGGGGAAGGAGAGGACAGTGGAGCTGATGACCTTTGCTGGTCCTTTCTTCAGCTTGTCACTTTATGATTCCTGCGTGGAATGCATGCAGAACACCCAGGAGACGGCATCTGTGAACGCACCAAGAGCTTCTTGGCATTTATGTGGCATTTACTTTGGCTCAGGAAAATAAAAATATGAAAAAGAAGCCTCCCATCACATGCCTTGGATCTTTCTCCCTGAACTCCGTGTGTGCTGCATCTTCTTACTTTGGCGGTACTTTTCCGGAGAGCGATGGTTATATTGTTATTGCTTCCCAAGGGATTTTCCAGTGTCACAGAGGAGATACTCCTGACTTGGGAGGTGGGACTTTTATGACCAGGATTCTGTCCCTCCTGAAGTCTGCAAGCTTTATTCTTCCCAAAGGACATGAGGTGAAAGGGCCTCTGCTGCTGCCTTTTAAACCTGCCAGAGGCTGAAGGAAAAGGAGAGGGGAAGGGCTGTTCCTCACATTATCCATGTGGAAGGACTGGATGCTATATTGGGGATGGAGAGACACTCCAGAGCCAGCTGCACACTTGCAGAACAGAACAATCTGCAGCTCTGTGGCTGGTGCTCCTGGCGATGGCCCCGGTGACATCTGTCCTTCCCTGTCCTTCCTAACCCTCCCTTCCATCCCTGGGACTCCGCACATCTTCATCCTGTGACACCTGGGCAGGACTGGAAAGTGTTGGATCCCCAGCCAGCGGTCCTTCAAAAAAAGCCCCGAAAAGGAAGCAGTTGCTAATTTGGAGAGGAGGCTGGGAATGCCGGGAAGAGCCGCCTCGCTGGATGAGTGCCTGCCTACCTGCCTTTCCTACGCTCCTCGTGCATTATTCCTGGCGAGCTCCCAAGCACAATTAAACCTCTGATAGATAATCAGTGGTGGAGTGGTGTCCAGGGTGAATAATACAGGAATCAGGTATTTCTTTTTTTGGCACCAAGTTGTTTCAGAAAACACATTTTGAAAGTCAAAAATAGAAGGAAAAAGAATGTGTTCATTGAACAAACTCCCCAGATCCTGACTTGGTGCCTGGTTGTGTCTTGTCTTCTGGGGGCCACCAGGGGCTTTGGTTTGGGATTTGTCTGTTGTAGTTTTGGGGGAGTTTGGGTCACAAATGGAAGGGGGCTTGGTGCATTTTTTGGAGTGAGGAAGAAGGAGCTCTGCCAGCACGTGCTGCAGCCTGGGAACTGTGGCAGCTGTGGAGGTAACAGCCTTCTGCAGAGGGCCTGGCAGGTCTGTGGGGGAGTGAGGCACATTAAACAGGTAGGTGGGATCCAAAAAGCAGAGGACTGGAGGCTGTGGTTTGTGCAGCAAAGCAGGTTGATCAGAAGAGCTCTAAGGGATACAGTTGCTGGAGTTCAGTGCGCTCTCTCAGAGTCCATCAGTGTTTCCGAGTGTTACTTGCACATTTCAAGATTTAATTTTTTAAGATTTTTAATCCATCCGTGGTTCTTTGCCATTTCCTCTGTCAATCCTTTTTGCCTGGTGCTGGTATCAGCTCTGTAACCCAGCAGTTTGCCAAGGAGTCAGCGCCTTCCTGCTGTATCTGGCATGGGAACCGCAGTTGTGCTTTCGCCAGATGATTTGGAAGGGCAACTGTTCTCTGCTCTTCTCCAGTGTTTTCCATCCCAAGCTGTGGACGTATTACAAGCATTAATTCAAATGTATCATCCTTTATGAGATGGAAAAATACCCAGGGGAGGGTGGGAGAGTCTGCAAACAAATGTGATTTGTTGCTCCGTGTTGAGGCACCTCTTCAGAAGCGCCGCTTAATTTTTCTCCGTGCTTGTCAGCGGGTGCCTGGGATTTTGTTTGTTCCTTCCCTTCCCCGAAGGGGACAACAGCACCGTAGCATGCTGATTTCCCACGGAAAGCAGCCTCCCATCCCTCCTGGCTTCCCGAGCCGCTCCTTCATGGATGGGGACACGCTGGGATAGCGGCTGCCGGCGGGTGAGCTGGGGAGTGCTGTCACTGAGTGCAGAGCAGATGAAGCTCTGAAGGCTGCGGCTGCTCCGAAGCTCCACTTTAATCTCCTGGTTGGAGCTCTCTGTGTGCTGCTGGACCCCCGTTCCCAGCGCTGGCTTGGCTGTCAGAAGTCATCTCCTGCACGTGTTCTCCCGTGGAGGCAGAGCCCGGTGGCACCCGGCACGTTCCCATGCCTTCCTGGATGGGATCTTTGGGTGATTAAACGCCTTCAACCCGGGCGAAGCAGAGGAGCAGGGATTGCTGGCATTCCATCCTCAGCATGGTCTGTGCAGCAGCAGTGACAGTGAGCTCATCCACAGCCGTGGGCTCCCGGAGCTGTCAGCCTCTTCCTTCCTGCCTCTCAGAAGTTCTTATTTCTGTGTTTGTTCCAGATACGGAAAACAGGACCCCCCTGAGCTCCCTGGCGAGAGCAGCCGGGTTTGTGAGGCGGATTGGTCACAGCCTAATGACATTACACGGCTCTGCTCGCCCACAGCGCCGGCCCACCGGGGACACTTCTGTGCTGTTGAGCTATAATAGCCCAGCCCTAAGGCACTGCTTCCTGCGCTGGAGTTCACAGCAGAGCTCCCCACAGGCCGGGAAGGGGTGGGGGTGTGTGTGTGTGTGTGTGTGTGCTTAGATCCATTTTATCCCGTGGTAATGCTGCTCTTTGGTGGGAATTTTTGATTGCAAGGCAATTAACAACAAGTCGTTGCTCCCTCGGCGTTTCTGAGCACCGATGCTCTCGGCAGAGCTGCTTGGACTTTTTATGAATTCAGGATGGGTCTTTTTTTTTGGCTGAATACTGTAAACGACATAAGGCTTTAAAGACTGATCAATAATCCTGATGGTCGCAGCAAAATCCAGGCCAGGCTGCATGAGTGCGAGCCAGAGATTACGTGAAGGAAGTTTTAAATACCTCTGCCTCCCTTCCCTTCCCTGGACTTTTGTCCTCCTGTTGCCCAGTGCTTCTCCAGCTGAATCCATTAATATTTCTCATGCTTGTTGAGCCCGTGACAGGTGATTTTAAAGCCCTGGTTTGTGTTGGCATCTCTGCTCTTCATAACAGGAGCTGAAACGTGTTGCCGCTGTCCTTACGTGGTTTAGCACCATGATTTATTACTGTTGTTTCCAGGTTGGAACACAGAGGTGCTGTCTCATTCCCGGAGGGTTGTCTGTGGGAAGCAAGCCCCCCCAGGAGGGCAACTTGACAAACACTCACTCTTGGGAACAGGACATCATTTAGGTGCCTGTTTTAACTGCTTCATTGAGGAGTCCTTCTCCTTCGCTTTTGTGTCTTCATTGCTTCAGCAAAACCTACTTTACAGGCTTAAAAGGGGGGGAAAAATGCGGAAAAGAGTCATCCTGGTTTTGATTTGTTGCTCTGCCTTTGATGAGAAGTTGTTGTGGTTTGGGGGCTGAAGTTTGTACAAGCAGTTTTGGCTCAGGTTTGCAAGGAGCGAGCGGTTTGATGTGTGATTCCATCTCTCCCAAAACAAGTCTTCAGCCTCTTGTCTTCCTTCAGAAAATGATTGTCTCACCCCAAGGGAGCCCTGCTGTGTAATTTGTGGGTAATCGAGGGGAACGGATCTCAGAGGGAGAAGAGTTTTCAGCATCTGAATGGAATTGTCTTAAATGGGAGAAATTGGGGTATTAGAAATTACAGGTGTGCTGCTGGCTTTTCCTGGCTCAGGATAAATGACTTTGGGGAAGAAGTGGAGGAAAACTTGCTTTCTGGGAGCTACTGCGGGGCTGCCTGCCTTTCATCATTACCTGCACGTGGTGTCCTTGGATCTGGCCCCCTGGAAGGGAGAGGGAGAAGGAGAGGGAGAGGGAGAGGGAGAGGGAGAGGGAGAGGGAGAGGGAGAGGGAGGAGCTATTGCTTGTGGTAGTTTGCAGGCTGACCTGTGAAATATGGGTTATCCATCGACCAGTTCTCTCCCTCTCTTAGGGACTCATGGCTTTCAGGAAGGGCAGTGTGGCTGTAGCCTCTGCCATCCCCTGCAGATCCGGGGATGCTGCTGCCAGGAGGGTGCTGTGCCACTCTGCAGGCACCGGCTCTGTCCCCAGGGGAGACCCTGTGTCCTTCCAGGCATCCTCGCTGAGCTGTTCCTGAGCCTTTGGCTGTGGTCTGAAAGGCAGGGCACATCCCTGGCTGTTTTCTTGGAGGTGCTGGGTCTGGGGTTAAAAGTTAACAATGCTCTTTCCTTATTCCATTCTAATTCGATTTGGGAAGGCAGCAGGGAGACAGAGGGCACTTAGTCCTCTAAGTGCTATTCCCTTGATGGGAGTTAGTAGCTCGTGCAGCATGCGTGGTGTTGATTTTGTAAGCTGACCTTTACCTCCATCAGGTTCATTCTCATTTGTAATACTTAAAGAAAAAAATCCCAACCTCTTATTTATTCTTTGGGCATCGAGGACGTAAATCCTTTGGCGTGTTTGGATTTGTGGAATTACTGTGCTTTTGCTGAGCCTTGTGTCCCACTCCAGCCAAATGACACAGCTTTTGGTGACTGCCATGGTGTTTCTCCTCCTCCTCTCTGCCTCCCTCCTGCCTGCTTCTGATCCACACCTGCTCATGCTCCCTGCAGCCTTTTCAGGGAAAGGTGGGTCCTTGGCAACCGTGGGAAGGGACAGGAAAGGGAGTTGGGCAGTCTTAGGGTTATCAGCCTTTGCTTCTGAAGTGCAACAACCTCCAGGTACCTTCTTTGCTGGTGCAGAATTAAAACTGCCATAAAATGCTTTTCCAGGAGGCATTCCATCAGCTGTGCCACAGGCCTCCTCCGAAACCGGAGCGTTTCCGTGGTGGCTGGGGAGAGGGGGGAGTTATAAATATCTTTCTCGGCTCTGCTTGGCTTCTCCCCAAGATAAGTAGAAGTGAAAGTCAAAAGTAGAGGCTTGGCCTTCTAAAATCCCCAGGGACCTGAGCACAGGATGCTTTTGTGACAGGAAGCCAATTCCTGGTGTTTCAGGGGCCTTGGAGGATGACGTTAAGGGCCCTCCCTCCCCTCTGCCCCAGGCAGGTCTCAGATGTACAGTGATCTCCATGCCTGGTGGCTTCTGTGGTGGGAAGCCTCAGGGAGCACGGGAGCATCCGTGAGAAGCCAGCCTGAAACAAGAACAACAGTAAAAAAAAAAAGTCTGTGCTTGTCCTCTAAATCTTGTAGCATGTTTACTCTCAGAAAGTACAGCCACATTACCAAAAATCAATAGTTCCAGCAGCATTCTCCCTGGGAAACACACAGATGCTTGGACACGCGGGAGGTGGTGAGTCTCATAAAAGCCAAGGGAATTACAGAGTGCTTTGGTACAAAGGCTCCTCTGCTGCACTTCTGGCAGAGCACAAATGGAGGGCCCTTGACCTGGGCAGTGTCTTCTGGGGCTTCCTGATCTTCCTTCTGCTCTCATGAGTCAGAGGCGGTGTGTGAGGCAAGAGGGGCTGTGGGCAACCAGGCAACCAGCAGCAGGACGAGAGGGCTCGGTCTTAAGCTCTGCCAGGGGAGGTTTAGGCTGGATATTAGGAAATTTTTTACAGAGAGAGTGATCAGACATTGGGATGGGCTGCCCAGGGAGGGGGTGGAGTCACTGTCCCTGGAGGTGTTTAAGGACAGACTGGATGTGGCATCAGTGCCACAGCTTCTCTGGGCAACCTGTGTCAGGGCCTCCCCACCCTCCCAAAGTAGAGTTTCTTCCTTACATATACTCTAAATCACCCTCTGTCTGTGTGAAGCTATTTCCCCTTGTCCTGTCACAACCATGCCCTTGTCCCAGAGTTCCCCTTTTAGGCACTGGAAGTGGCCTTTTCCAACCTGCAGTGAGCTCTGGAGAGCAGAAAGTCATCCTTCCTTCTGAGGTCAGCCAAAACAAAAAGAGAAAGGTGACCAACCCCTTTTTACTGCCATCTCTTATTAATGAGACATTTTATCC